TTTCCGTTTCGGCGAAAAAAATGTAGGGATAAAATGAAAATTTCTAACAACCGAGACCTTCGTTGCTTAGAATTTGGAAAGCAAAGTAATACAGCGCCCTCCTTTTTGAGAAATTCTCAACACGTTTAAGAGTTTAGGAGGTCTGCCCAGACAGACTTAATGGGACAGTTGCAGCAACCCTCTACTTCATTTTTGCTTCTCTTTGGAGGCGGCGTCGGGACATCTGACCATCGCAGTTGGCGGCTCTATCAGTTTATAGCACAAAGAACCATCCCAAACCCATGGATTAAGGCTCTTTTCCATACATCCTCATTTTTTAGAATTTGAGACGAGGTCAACTAGGTAAGGTCTTCTCCTTTTTAAAGAATGAAGAAGACGAGGTTGAGGGGAGCATTCGGCAGTCACAAGTAAACTCATTATTAGGACATCAGCTAAGACTCTTTGTAGCCACTTAGAATATCGTCTCAATTGAAAGGTCCATTGCGGGTGGAGAGACATCCTCTCGAAGTGAGCGAGGAATGGTTTCGATGATGGGTGAAAGGGGATAGTCAGGATGTCCGTAACCGCGACTGCATAGTTCAATCAAGTCACGAAGAATCCTTTTCACTATTTTCTTTGCATACATCCATTAGCAAAGCGCAATTTTGAAACTGTGCAAGTGTTTAAAAAGAGAACTTGCTTTATTCTTAGGCAAAAATTATGGACGTTTGAAGCGTATCCCCTCTACTGATCGTACAGAACATCGGCTCAAAGTGATTACCCTCCCTTTTTCGGTGTTCGTACACTCCTTTTTCGGTTGAATAGGCTTGGCCCAGCCAATCTGCTTTTTTTCCGGGTTGGAGATAAGGAGAACCTTTTTCCACCTTTTCAACCCCATCCCGCCTTTCCCCGTCCCTTTTTCATCGGGGTGGAAGGTAAATCGAGTTTTTCTTCCATGATGCTGTAATTTATGGGAGAATCAGTACACTCAAGTAATTCACTTCTACCTTCAACAAAGTTGGAGTGTTGAGAAAAACCGGAGTTATTTTAACTACTTTTCCGGAGGGAGGAGAGGTAAAACTAAAAGCGATGACGAGATAGTCTTGTAAATGTGGGAATGGTAGAAATACTTACCCACTCAGCACACCGAGGACGAGATTAAGCATGAAAAATGACCCAACAACAATGAGAGTAAGGAAATAGTAGAAATTGAAGCGGTTTCCGAAGGCAAAGTCCGTCTGCAAAGGCATGGAAGAGTAATGCGAGTGCTGGAAAGGAAGTGAAAAGTTACATAAATCCGGCATAATTTCAAAAATTTGGCTATCATGTCCATAATCTATGGCCTCATCCAACTAACGTCTCTAACTGTCGACCTACACACACACACACGTCCCCCCTCAAGACCCGAACTCTAGCGAGTGTTCACGCCTTTTTTCAGGGATTGCAGTCGACTAGGCGTCTGGCGCACTCCTTCCCTCAACCAGTAATCCAGACATTTGGCGCAGAGTAGGAACAGGCTTACCAGACACCAATTTGCCTCCCATCTGGGTATGTTCTAAAAGCAACTACAACCTCTAAAGGGACACTTCTTGACCAAATGACAATTTTTTGCCGCCTAGCGAAAACTGTCAAGCATTCTGCCATACATGACAAAGTAGTGCTTTGACTCCGAGCCTTTTCCTCCTCCTTTATTATGCGGTTAACATGAATCGTTCTCCTTCCCATAAAAGGGACAAAAATAAGTAAATGTATTAAGCATTACAAAATGCTCTATCAAATTTACGTGAGCCTTTGAGGCCCTCATGACCTTCGTTGGTGCATTGCCCTTCCTTAGTCGGAAGTCGAAAGCATTGCCTTACCTTAATCAGAAGTCGTCTAGTCGGCGTCATAACGCTCACACTGAATGACATTCCCACAAGCCACGGGCTTATGAGATTTCAAACAGGTGCACTCACTTCGCTTCATGTACTTTCCTTCCTTTTTTACCGCTTCCTTACATTGTACAGTCCTCCTTGAGGTTAAGAGGCAAGGGAGGAGGCGGAGGAGGAGGAGGAGGAGGAAAGGCGCAGGCGTTGTGTTGCTTTCATTTCCATTTAAAAATGAAATGCTTCTTTCAAGTTTGCCATCGAAGGCTCAAAATTTCTAAGTCTTCTTAGAATGAGAGGAGGAAATTTTTTTCAAAAACTTTTAGTTCATTGTTATTGTTGGACAATTTATCCTAATTAATTTGACCTTCAATCCAACCTTGATTTGGAGATCACGTCGTCCTTGCCAGTCAAGTTGACTCCTGTTAGACCAATCCAATAGCATCAAGAAGGGTCAGATGGAACTCACAGGTGGTGTGGATGACAGGGCTGAGGAGCTTTGGCTCAAGGAGAAGGTGAGACTACTTACAGAGGACATGATATCCGTCCAGCCCTCCATGGTGATGCATTGAAAGACGGTGAGCATGGAGTAGCCGATGTTGTCAAAGCTAGTGATGCCAAAATTGGGTCCCTCCCAGTATCCTTTGCAGACATAGCCGGTGGGGCAGACGAAAGCACCAGGTGGGACACCTTTTCCATGGGTGTGAGTGTCATTAGTGATCACACATGGCACTAAGCGAGCCACGGTGGGGATGGAATTTGGCAATTCTTGGGGATTTTCTTAAAAGGAAATAAAATGAGGCATAAAACTTCTTAGCCTTTAGTCCTAGTAAAAAAGTGATTGACTCAGTTGATGAAAATTCTCAAGTTGTCTCCGAATATTTTTGTGCGATCCTTTCCCCATATCTATTAAAGCTTTTCGTGGCAATCAGTGAGAGCACTGGATGTCTACAGGCAACAACCAGTCCTTGAGAGTTTTCCCTTTTCTGACAACCGCCTTAAGTTTGTCTTCTAGACACAGGGAAGGAGGATGTAAAGCTGATTTAGGAACCCACGTTCATCGAAGCAAGTAAGATGGAACCCGCCACCGTAGAACTCCAGTCCCACGATCGCAAGAACGACTATTCCGAAGAGGACCAAAAGACCTATTTGCAGGAGAGGAGCCATTGCTTTGATGAGGGACTTGAGGACAACCTGAAGACCTAAAAGCATTTTTACATTTTCAAATTGTCAGTTCAACAATTTCATATGTAAATAGAAAATTCATATTGAAGGAGGTGGTCTGATTCAAGAGGGCGTCCAATTTGCTGCATGTAGAATTTTGCCCGAATTTAATGAGCCAGTTCAATATCAAGGGTACTGCTGATTTCCTTTCAAAAAGTCCTGAGTATTTTAGAAAATATACTTTAAAAAAGCTGGCATTGGGGTCAAATCGCATTCGTCAATTAGACCTGACAAATGTTTTGCAAATTTTCTTGCTAAACTTTTAAGCACTTCTCGAGACGAAATTTCGGCTTGGACTTTGCTTAGTGTTGGGACTAAAGGGTCTAGTTGGTACAAGACCGTAAAAAAGGGAAAAAAAGGTACTTTTTGGGCACTTTTTCTAGTACTTTCGCTTTCTTGAAATGCTTCTGAGGTAGGTAGTAAGAAAAACTTTCCTTCCTTCCCTATCTTCCATTTTTATGATGAAATGAACCTTATGGATGACGGATGATGAGTGTGGAGTGCTACGGGTAGGAGAGTTGGTTGCCATTATCGCGTAAGAGGCGTGAGGCGCACTATCGTCTCGTCCTGAGACCTCACATGGAACAACTCTTGTCACCAAATCCAACTGTGCGGAGAGTGTCAACATGGCAACATGTCATGTCGTGCAAATGAAGGGCGCATAGGGCAAAACAAGGTAAAACATCCTTTGCTGACGTAGCCGAGAGCGTGGAGGGCAGAGGAGGAGCACTCACCCAATTGACAATCGGGGAGTGTGACGCTTATGAATGACGAGTGGGAATGAGAGAAGGGGGTGGAGAAAGGAGAGCTGGGATGGGGGCACTTTAGGCTTACTAGGTATTCCGGAAACCAGTTTGAGCGGTCGTAAAACGCGAACAGCTCTTAGCGTTCGTAGGTCAATTCCTGTTCCTGTTTGAGCAAACACCGTGATGTAGCTACGTTGAAGAGAGGAGATGAAAAGTACGAGAAAATGGATAAAACGTTAGCAAAGGAAAACATTTCTACTTGATTAAACAACCGAATTGTAGAATTTAGTCAATTGAAAGCTATAAGAGCTTCTGTCCGATAGGAAAAATAGTTCGAGACTTTGGATTCTTAGTTCCTTCTTGGTTCTCAGTCAGTCTACTGGTACGGCTTACCCTGTGATCACGACAGTGAAATCAAGAAGGTTCCAGACGTTGCGCAAGTAGGCCCCAGATTGCAGCACAAATCCGAGGGCAACTATTTTCAGAATTGCCTCACATGTAAAAATTCCCAGGAAATAATTTTCCAGGAATTCCTAAAATACAAAACAAGAGGAACAATAAACGAGTGTTTTGTTTTTCTCCTTATTTTGTATTCCTTCCATTCACTTTAAAAGGTGCACATAGGAGAACTCCTCGAGGGAGTGTCAGTCATCCCGCCCCAACTGTTTTACAATTTCTGGGGAACCAAACATTGTTCAGAGCTTTTTTAATTAGTGGACAAACTGGGAACAGTAGTTCGTTACTAAACAAGAAGTTATTGCGTAAACTTAATCCCCTTGCCTTCTTTTAATGCAAAGGCGGAACAAGCAGCTCCATTAGCGCTGAGGGTTCAAGACTGAGATGCAATTAGCTCTCGAATGATCCATACCAACTCCATCACTTTGGGTCTTTTAAAACCACCTTTATATGCTTTTCTAGAATGCTATTCCACCTTTAAAAATGTACAGTCTCTTTGTTAGCTACTCGCTACTTATCGTGTGTGGCTGACAATTTAACCATAACCATGTCGAGATTGGGAGTCAGGGCATTAGACATGTTGGTTAATTTTTGGCATTAAGAGAGGACGTAGTCTCCGTCTTATCACGAGTAGACATGGCTCCATTTGGATTCAGCTTATCGTACTTCCGCTGTGCAAAATGGTCCTCTGGTCTCTGGACCAGGTCGGCAGCTGCCCAGGGTACTACGCATGGAGCAGTTCAAAGTAATTTTCTTCTGCAAATACTTCGGCTTGCTGCGGCGGCAGGAAAACTCAAAAGGTTACATTAGTCAGCAGAATGCTCTCAAAACTCAACAAATGCCAACTTCATGTTAAAGAATGACCAAAAGAGGTGACAAGACTTTCTAGATGGGGTTTGGCGAAACGATGCTTGAGGAAAAGGGGAGCGAGGTGATCTAAGGCAGTACTTTTAGCCAACTGCATTCTCCA